TGTAAATGTCTATCATTCTTTGTTTATTCACATTCTGCTGACCAAAATTCAAGTGTAGTGAAAAACAAGGACTGTGCTTTCTTTCCAAACATGAATATAATCCTTCATATGTGAAAGCTATTGAATAACTATTTGTGGACTAGATATATGCAGCGCTATTTTACAACAATCACTGTCCTAACATTGCTTCAATTTCTGTTGTTTTGTGCTCTTCAAATTCTTGGTTTCACTGCTAAAAGTGACCTTCTTGTAAAGGCCTATTTACAATGTATCCATGTTTGTACATCTATGGCTTTTACTCTTTGGTGTTCATGTTAATGTCTTTCTACTAATATGATAGATATGAAGAACATGGATACATGAATTTCTTTTATACTCATATCATAGGCTTGTTACTTAAAAGCCTGCCAACACCATGGCATTTTTAAAATATTTATTCCAAACTGAGATTATGAAGTAATTCATTATCCTCTTCTATTGTAGAAAATGGGAAAATTGATGATCACCTCCAGCATCAATTGCAAACGCAAAAAATTCGGGAGTGTGTGGAACAATGCTATGAATATAATTCATTTGGAAACATTTTTAATCATAGAAAATGTAATTTCCCATTAAAGCACCATCATACGTTTGATTTGCATAGAGAAACTTTAAAATCAAGTTTAAATTTAGAGAATGAGAACAGCGGCTGTGACCTGGAAAAGTTGACTGAGTTTAATGGACATGGACAACAACCCTTTCTCCAAGATAAACACGTGCAACTTTATACTGATAGTGCAAAATGCTTTAGTAACAAGTCCCAGATTGTTAGCCATCAGAACACTGCCAAAATAGTGAATACTCATGAATGCAATGAATGTGGCAAAACTTTCATCAAGAAGTCTCAGTTCCTTGACCATCAAATGATTCATACAGGAGAGAAACCTTATGGGTGCAGTATGTGTGAGAAAGCATTCGTCAGAAGGTACAGGCTAATTGAACATCAGAGAACTCATGCAGGACTGAAGCATTATGAGTGTACTGAATGTGACAAAACCTTCCTTAAGAAATCACAACTCAATCTGCATCAGAAGACCCATATGGTAGAGAAACCATATATATGCAATGAATGTGGAAGAACCTTCAGCAAAAAGTGTTTGCTCGGTTATCATCAGCGAACTCATACAGGAGAGAAACCTCATGGGTGCACCCTGTGTGGGAAAGCCTTCTGCACAAAATCCAGTCTTACTACTCACCAGAAAACTCATAGAGGAGAGAAGCCCTTTAGATGCAGTGAGTGTGGAAAAGGCTACATGGAGAAGAGGCGTCTTCTTGCACATCATCTAACTCACACCGGAGAGAAGCCCTTTATATGCAATGAATGTGGGAAACGATTCACTATGAAGAATAGTCATATCACACATCAGCAGACTCATACAGAAGAGAAATCCTACACATGCAGTGAATGTGGAAAAGGCTTTTCCATGAAGCACTGTCTCATAAGACATCAGCGAACTCATACAGGAGAGAAACCCTATGTATGCACTGAGTGTGGAAAAGGTTTCCCACTGAAGAACCCTCTTATCAGGCATCAGCGAACACACACAGGAGAGAAGCCTTATGCATGCAGTGAATGTCAAAAAGCCTTCACCATGAAGATTGATCTCAGCATACATCAGCGTATTCATACTGCAGAGAAACCATACGTGTGCAATGATTGTGGAAAAGGATTTACTGTGAAGAGCCGTCTCACTGAACATCAGAGAATTCACACAGGCGAGAAACCTTTTTTATGCAGTGAATGTGGGAAAGGCTTTTCTACAAAGATCCGACTAATTGGACATCAACGAACTCATACAGGAGAGAAGCCCTATAAATGCAACCAATGTGGAAAAGGCTTCACTGAAAGGAGCCATCTCAATGTACATCGGCGCACTCATACTGGTGAGAAGCCCTACATATGCAATGTGTGTGGGAAAGCTTTAAGTGGGAAAAGTGTGCTCATTGCACATCAGCGAACTCATACTGGAGAGAAGCCCTATGTATGCAATGAATGTGGAAAAGGTTTTGCTAGAAAGAGTAATCTTGTTTATCACCAGCGATCTCATACAGGGGAAAAATCTTACCTATGTGGCGAATGTGGAAAGAGTTTCACCATAAAGCGCACTCTCAGTGTACATCAGCAAACTCATGTCACACAGAAATCATATATATACGATCGACTTGAAAAGGCTTCAAAACAGAATGCACTCTCCTTATATATAAGTGAGCTTATTTTGAAGAGAAATCCTTTGTGACAGTTAACATCATGCATGCACTAGGCTATGTTTCCCAGTTGTTGTTTTTTTGGTGAAACTACATCAAGTAATCAAAAAAAAAAACAACAACCAACCAAACCAAACCTATTACCATTGAGTTGATCCAGATTCAGTGACCCGTGATGACCTATGATTATATCTATTAGCCTTGGATAGAGCAGATTTCCTCCTATGTTTTATTGTAAGGTAATCAATCACCGCTTCACAATGTGATTTTAATATGTTCAGTCACATAAGGTCATGCCAGTGTAAGGTGGATCTTAAAACTACTGA